GACATGGGGTTGTTGTAAGTGACGAATGATTTGCAATCATGTAGCAAATAATTTATAGTTTTGTTCTCAACTTGAGTTGATTTGTTAATTTTTAACAAAAAGCATTAGCAAGTTGTAATGTGAAGAAAAAAACAATTTTTTAATAAAATTTACTCAGGAATGTGAGGCTTAAGAAGGAGCCCTTGGTATAGAAATTAATAAAACTGACTTAAATAAATACTTTATTGTTATACCCTGCACCACTATATTGGGAAGGGTAATATGCTTTTGTGCTAATGTTTGTAACGCACAAAAAGTATAGCGATCGAGTTTCTCTGTCGATTAATACATGTCCGTCCGTCTGTCCGACTGGCTGTCCAATTTTCTAGATATTTTGTTTAAATTTGAACCATCGGTGTTTTTCGGCATAAAGAAGCCAATTGAAAGTGGTTGAAATTGGACCATTATTTCACCTAGCCTCCATACAACCGAGCCTTGTGATTTGGGGGTTTTAGGTATAACTTTATCAAATATACTACTATCTCTCTAAAAAGTTTGATATAGACATAGACATAAATGACCATGCCGATTTTTGTAATGATCGGCCCTTATTTGACCGCGATTAAATTCAGCATAACAAATTTTATATAAATCGGGCCTTATTTGACCCTAACTGCCATATAAACCTTTTAGAGGCATATGTGGGAATTCAATAAAACCACTCAATAAATGATTGATTAATAAATGTATAAAAGTTTATCGTAGATTCCTTTATGACGAATGTTCCCATAAATGTGCCCCCCGGGGCATGTTTCCTTGATGAAATCTCCATCTTGGTGTATTGCAATCCCCTATAAACTGGTGATGATCAAATGTATCCTCGGCCTTTCCTTGGAATGATTTGACATTGGGTCTAACCAGAGTACCATATAATCCGGCACTACGGGTGGCCGGGTGGCCGGTTGCCCACAGGACCTAGTCCTAACCGGTCAATTGGTTGATGTTCCTTCGGGACCCACGTAGTGGCTGTGGTTTATACCCAAATTCGAGGGGAGAGAATGTTGGTTTAAGGACTGATATATCCAAATGCCAAATACATCTGGATTCTCTCTCCGGCGCTGTTGTCATCTCAACAGATGTCACCGGGTGATGTGACAAACCAACTTATGCTGAATTCCTGAACCCGTTGAATTTTCAGGTTGATACTTGGTAGTTGCCTGTCATTCCGTAGATCGTTCTTTATGGTCTGAGAATGGAACAGATGTAATTGTTGAACGATCGGGAAAGATTCCTCTGCCCGACAGGAGACTAGTACTGATTTAGTAGACCTTTTACTTCAGGGAAGTTCTCGGTGCTGTTGCCATCTCAACAGGATTGATATTGTTTCATGCTACAAGACATATAGTTGAGGTCCGTTCCCTCAACTCGTCGGGGCAATTATTGGGTTCGAATAGATTTTTGAAATTTCTACATCCTTTGTCACATTATCTGACATACAGAGGTATCCTGATTTATTGGCTGAATATTTCGGTCTACCAAATAGCGTCTTTAGGTGCTGTTGCCAAACCAACAGAGCCATTTCAGTAGTGTGGTTGCGCGGGCTTTAAGGGGTTAAGGAATGCACTGGAATGGGTCATTAGTTAATGGGGATTGCATTTTAAATAATGCAATCTTTCATGACATTATAAGGTTAATCAACTTCCGGTTTACCGGAAGTTTGATTTCACCTGATGTTGGGGTTTGTCGCCCCTTCTATTGACTTTGGACCAGTGATTGTCGGGGTTTGCATTGGGATAGATCCCATGCTGCCTGTCATTCCACAACGGGGCTACTATGGCAAAAGATTAGATAGCTCGAGTTCTTCAGCAAAGTGCTTGTACATGTACCGGCTCAGCCATATACAAAAATTGCCACCTGAGTTCTTCATAGAAGGATTCAGGGGCGCGTGGTAGACAGAATTGTGAATGATTATGTAATAATTTCAAAATTCATTTCATAATTTTCTTGGAATTTTTATTTTAGTTTTTTTTTGTGAAATTCTCAAGAAAACCATTAAGTAGAAATATTTGTTACTGATAAATTAAATTGTTTAACAAATGCAAATTTACGTTTAGAATACTAAATGCCGCAATTTAAACAAAAACAAAAAAACAATTAATTTATCTAAAAAACAGGTTAACAGAAAATAAAGAAATATTTCATAAAGTACATATGAGCCGACACTACGAGTATAAGAATTGTTATAAAATTTTTTCTCTATACTTTGAAAAAGACGTGATTTAAATAAAAGCCGCTCCTATAAGAAACATAAACATTAAAATAATAAAAAAATTAAATGTTTGCAAACTTCAAACACCAGTAATAATAGAAAATAATGGTTAAATGTTTAAACAAAAAACCAAAGCAACATTCTACAAAAAAAAAACACATTTACCACCACCTTCCACTCTTGACATTTCTAGATTTGGTAGTAAAAAATGTTTATTTTAAATTAAAACAGGTTCTTTATTAATGTAATATTTACCAGTAATACAGTCAAAGCTACGATATGTAGTACAATATTTCTGAATTACAAATTAAAAACAAAAAAATCTTAATATTTATTTATAGCTACTATAAGATCTTTTAGGTTTGTTTTAGTTTTCTGTTCATTAGATATATTTTGTAAAAAAAAGTGAAAGGTTAAAAACTAGTTTCTTAGATCTCATACAGGACGGTTTGTTTAACATGTTGCTGTTTTAGCTGTTAACAACATAAAATAAGTTTTTGTTATAAAGAAACTAATTTTTTCCTATTTGGTGTCTTACTGTTTAACAAAAACAACTAACTGCATAATTAATATATTTGTTGTTGTTGCTCTTGCTGCTGGAGCAAAAGATTAGTTAGAAGATTAAACAAATGTTAAATTAAATATTTTATTAACTTTCTTTTAACAAGTCATGACTCTTCTCCTCAATGTTATTCTTCTATGTAAACAATTTATAAAATGGTCAGATAAAAAAAAAAAAAAACATAACTTTACCACTGACCACCTTTTGGGGCCAAAAGCTAGCAGTCAACAACAAAATAGCAAAGAAATTTTGAACAAACTTTATGATCCAGCTAAAATTAATAACAACAAAACATTGATCCATACTCAAAATTAGCCATTACACTGTGAGTACTAATTAAATAACAAAAGCATGATGAGATCATGCACTCTACCTTTTTTTCACTTTTGAGAATTTATCACCATGAAATAAATGTTCAGTGAGTGAGAAAAGATCACTTGTATAATTTGTTTTTATTGTATTTTCTGTCAGTATTGTTTTAAAATACTTTTACTTTTGTTTTTTATTATTTTCAACCTGCCATACCAATGACATTTTTAGCATTTGGGACGAGGAGGTGAGGGCAAGAAACCAAGAGGTATGAAGGAAAATAGAGGCGAAAGCGGGGCAAAACGACGGAGAGAGACGCGAGGGGGGGAGGGAGCAAACAGGGACGGGAGAAGGGGAGGAGAACGAGCGAAGAAGAGAAGAAGCGAGGAAGCGAGGAAGCGAGGAAGCGAGGAAGCGAGGAAGCGAGGAAGCGAGGAAGCGAGGAAGCGAGGAAGCGAGGAAGCGAGGAAGCGAGGAAGCGAGGAAGCGAGGAAGCGAGGAAGCGAGGAAGCGAGGAAGCGAGGAAGCGAGGAAGCGAGGAAGCGAGGAAGCGAGGAAGCGAGGAAGCGAGGAAGCGAGGAAGCGAGGAAGCGAGGAAGCGAGGAAGCGAGGAAGCGAGGAAGCGAGGAAGCGAGGAAGCGAGGAAGCGAGGAAGCGAGGAAGCGAGGAAGCGAGGAAGCGAGGAAGCGAGGAAGCGAGGAAGCGAGGAAGCGAGGAAGCGAGGAAGCGAGGAAGCGAGGAAGCGAGGAAGCGAGGAAGCGAGCGAGCGAGCGAGCGAGCGAGCGAGCGAGCGAGCGAGCGAGCGAGCGAGCGAGCGAGCGAGCGAGCGAGCGAGCGAGCGAGCGAGCGAGCGAGCGAGCGAGCGAGCGAGCGAGCGAGCGAGCGAGCGAGCGAGGAGCGAGCGAGCGAGCGAGCGAGCGAGCGAGCGAGCGAGCGAGCGAGCGAGCGAGCGAGCGAGCGAGCGAGCGAGCGAGCGAGCGAGCGAGCGAGCGAGCGAGCTAGAGCGAGCGAGCGAGCGAGCGAGCGAGCGAGCGAGCGAGCGAGCGAGCAGCGAGCGAGCGAGCGAGCGAGCGAGCGAGCGAGCGAGCGAGCGAGCGAGCGAGCGAGAGCGAGCGAGCGAGAGCGAGCGAGCGAGCGAGCGAGCGAGCGAGCGAGCGAGCGAGCGAGCGAGCGAGCGAGCGAGCGAGCGAGCGAGCAGCGAGCGAGCGAGCGAGCGAGCGAGCGAGCGAGCGAGCGAGCGAGCGAGCGAGCGAGCGAGCGAGCGAGCGAGAGCAGCGAGCGAGCGAGCGAGCGAGCGAGCGAGCGAGCTGAGCGATGCTATCGATCTATCGATCTATGCGATGCGAGCTATCGATCTATCTAGCTATCGATCTATCTAGCTATCTATCTATCTATCTATCTATCTATCTATCTATCTATCTATCTATCGATCTATCTATCGATCTATCTATCTATCTATCTATCTATCTATTATCTACTATCTATCTATCTATCTATCTATCTATCTATCTATCTATCTATCTATCTATATATTTCCTTGTTGATTACCACTTATAGGGTGTCAATCAATATCGTACACACTAACACTTTTTAAATTACTATGCAAAAAACTAGAAGAAGAAAAAGCCACACAATTCCGTAGATAATTTGTTTCATTCAACAACAATAAAACCCACGAAAAACAAAATGTCAAAATCATAAATAAAATTTTGAGAAAAAAAAACAAAATACCTCAAAAAACTGCATTAGTGACTGGTTAAAAGTTCAAAATATTCATTTATAACTTGTTCACTATTAATGTTTATTTATAAAAATATATAAATACTTAAATTAAAATTGTATAAATACTTACCATTTCTTTACGCAATGTTGCAATTTGTGTATCCAATTTACTACCCGGTATCGCTGGTGGTATTTCCGATATTGTTTCATTGCCATTAATTTCCTTTAATGGTGTCGTTGTCGATGTTGTTGCTGTTGTCACTGTTGCTGGCGTTGTTGTCGCAGACGACGCATTGTTAAATTTATCACTTGCATCTTTAAGTGCATTATTATTATTATTACTATTAATGTTGTTGTTATTATTATTTATATTTAAATTATTATTATTTTCTTTTTGGTTTTCATAGTGTTTTAACAACTCATTATTTTTAGTATTTTTATTTCGGTATCAACATCACTAACCAGACCCGAATCTGAGGCCAACATTTTATTTATACCGCTGAGACTTTTTGGTAACGGTGGTAAATCATTAATTGACATTATTCTGCAAATATTCAAAAAAGGGGAAATAACAATTAATTTTGCTAATTGAAGTTACACATAAGAAATAGAAATAGATACCAATAAATTTATAAAAAAAATGTCTTTTTTCGATTTCAATTTACAAAGAATAGAGCTTTAATTCTCTATATGAAAATGAATTTTTGATCAAATAACAGTTTTGGGAAATTTTTCGACCATTTCTCTATTTTTGATAAATTCAAAATTTTTTAAGTTTTTCTTTAAATTTTCTCATACAAAAAAATACAGTTAATCCTAATAAAACATACAACTCGACCCGTCTTAATTTTCATTAAACAATAAATTGTTTGAAAAGAAAAACACAACAATTAATAATATCGACCCAGATGTTAGTTTTTCATTGCTCTTTCTAGACTCCTATTTGCTTCACCTCAATTGAATATGTTTTACTTAATTACAAAATGCATCATACAACATCATCTAGAATTTCAATAAATTCTGCCGTCACATAAACATTAAAAATATTTGACTGATTTATTCTAAGTTGATTGTTCTTTCGGCCCGTTCTATTGCACTTATGTTCCTCTACTTACGTTTATTCCATATAAATTATTGTATAAAAAATACAAGAAGAAAAATTAAAACCATTGTCTAAAGTTTCTATTGTTTCTAAAATAAAAGCAAAAATTACAACAAAAAAACTTCTTTGCTCTGCAATCGAGAAGAAAAAAAATGTCATAATTGTAATCAATATCATGCTAGTTGAACGTGATTTCTGGGTCATATTGTACGAGTATTAAAGAATAACAAAACTAAAATCAAAACCAAAGCGAAAAAAAAATCAGCATTGATCCAATGAACCAACAACAATCAACAAACATTCATCCATCCGTTGAATTTTGCAAAAGGTATGACAATGTTAATACCGCTGAGATACATACTTAAATACCTCCACATACACTTGAAGCAACTCTAATTTATGTTGCAATGTTAAAATGTCGTGACGCTAATAATCAACAACATTAGTAAGTAGTTGCAGCAACAAATCCAATATTACGACCAACCACTAGCAACAACTACAATATAACAAATAGATTGGTTAATACATACACTAGATTATTTTACAAATATTACGAACGTATAGAGGAATGGACAGACAGACAAACAAATAAACTAGATTTTAGTAGATTCTACTACTAAAAGATTGAAGGTTATATTAAATAGTTTGGGGATGTTGTAACAGCTTTACTCTTTAATATAGACTAGTCTATAGTCTAGTTTATAGTCTAGTCTATAGTCTAGCCTATAGTCTAGACTATAGTCTAGTCTATAGTCTAGTCTATAGTCTAGTCTATAGTCTAGTCTATAGTCTAGTCTATAGTCTAGTCTATAGTCTAGTCTATAGTCTAGTCTATAGTCTAGTCTATAGTCTAGTCTAGTCTAGTCTATAGTCTAGTCTATGGTCTAGTCTATAGTCTAGTCTATAGTCTAGTCTATAGTCTAGTCTATAGTCTAGTCTATAGTCTAGTCTATAGTCTAGTCTATAGTCTAGTCTATAGTCTAGTCTATAGTCTAGTCTATAGTCTAGTCTATAGTCTAGTCTATAGTCTAGTCTAGTAGTCTATAGTCTAGTCTATAGTATAGTCTATAGTCTAGTCTAGTCTAGTCTAGTCTAGTCTAGTCTAGTCTATAGTCTAGTCTAGTCTAGTCGTCTAGTCTAGTCTAGAGTCTAGTCTAGTCTAGTCTAGTCTAGCCTAGTCTAGTCTATAGTCTAGTCTAGTCTATAGTCTATAGTCTAGTCTATAGTCTAGAGTCTAGTCTATAGTCTAGTCTATAGTCTAGTCTATAGTCTAGTCTATAGTCTAGTCTATAGTCTAGTCTATAGTAGTCTAGTCTAGTCTATGTCTAGTCTATAGTCTAGTCTATAGTCTAGTCTATAGTCTAGTCTATATAGTCTAGTCTATAGTCTAGTCTATAGTCTAGTCTATAGTCTAGTCTATAGTCTAGTCTATAGTCTAGTCTATAGTCTAGTCTATAGTCTAGTCTATAGTCTAGTCTATAGTCTAGTCTATAGTCTAGTCTATAGTCTAGTCTATAGTCTAGTCTATAGTCTAGTCTATAGTCTAGTCTATAGTCTAGTCTATAGTCTAGTCTATAGTCTAGTCTATAGTCTAGTCTATAGTCTAGTCTATAGTCTAGTCTATGTCTAGTCTATAGTCTAGTCTAGTCTATAGTCTAGTCTATAGTCTAGTCTATAGTCTAGTCTATAGTCTAGTCTATAGTCTAGTCTATAGTCTAGTCTATAGTCTAGTCTATAGTCTAGTCTATAGTCTAGTCTATAGTCTAGTCTATAGTCTAGTCTATAGTCTAGTCTATAGTCTAGTCTATAGTCTAGTCTATAGTCTAGTCTATAGTCTAGTCTATAGTCTAGTCTATAGTCTAGTCTATAGTCTAGTCTATAGTCTAGTCTATAGTCTAGTCTATAGTCTAGTCTATAGTCTAGTCTATAGTCTAGTCTATAGTCTAGTCTAGTCTAGTCATAGTCTAGTCTATAGTCTAGTCTATAGTCTAGTCTATAGTCTAGTCTATAGTCTAGTCTATAGTCTAGTCTATAGTTAGCTATAGTCTAGTTCTAGTCTAGTCTATAGTCTAGTCTATAGTCTAGTCTATAGTCTAGTCTATAGTCTAGTCTATAGTCTAGTCTATCGTCTAGTCTATAGTCTAGTCTATAGTCTAGTCTATAGTCTAGTCTATAGTCTAGCTATAGTCTAGTCTAGTACTCTAGTTCTAGTCTATAGTCTAGTCTATAGTCTAGTCTATAGTCTAGTCTATAGTCTAGTCTATAGTCTAGTCTATAGTCTAGTCTATAGTCTAGTCTATAGTCTAGTCTATAGTCTAGTCTATAGTCTAGTCTATAGTCTAGTCTATAGTCTAGTCTAGTCTAGTCTATAGTCTAGTCTATAGTCTAGTCTATAGTCTAGTCTATAGTCTTAGTCTATAGTCTAGTCTATAGTCTAGTCTATGTTAGTCTAAGTCTAGTCTATAGTCTAGTCTATAGTCTAGTCTATAGTCTAGTCTATAGTCTAGTCTATAGTCTAGTCTATAGTCTAGTCTATAGTCTAGTCTATAGTCTGTCTATAGTCTAGTCTATAGTCTAGTCTATAGTCTAGTCTATAGTCTAGTCTATAGTCTAGTCTATAGTCTAGTCTATAGTCTAGTCTATAGTCTAGTCTATAGTCTAGTCTATAGTCTAGTCTATAGTCTAGTCTATAGTAGTCTATAGTCTAGTCTATAGTCTAGTCTATAGTCTAGTCTATAGTCTAGTCTATAGTCTAGTCTATAGTCTAGTCTATAGTCTAGTCTATAGTCTAGTCTATAGTCTAGTCTATAGTCTAGTCTATAGTATAGTCTATAGTCTAGTCTATAGTCTAGTCTATAGTCTAGTCTATAGTCTAGTCTATAGTCTAGTCTATAGTCTAGTCTATAGTCTAGTCTATAGTCTAGTCTATAGTCTAGTCTATAGTCTAGTCTATAGTCTAGTCTATAGTCTAGTCTATAGTCTAGTCTATAGTCTAGTCTATAGTCTAGTCTATAGTCTAGTCTATAGTCTAGTCTATAGTCTAGTCTATAGTCTAGTCTATAGTCTAGTCTATAGTCTAGTCTATAGTTATAGGTCTAGTCTTAAGTCTAGTCTATAGTCTAGTCTATAGTCTAGTCTATAGTCTGTCTATAGTCTAGTCTATAGTCTAGTCTATAGTCTAGTCTATAGTCTAGTCTATAGTCTAGTCTATAGTCTAGTCTATAGTCTAGTCTATAGTCTAGTCTATAGTCTAGTCTATAGTCTAGTCTATAGTCTAGTCTATAGTCTAGTCTATAGTCTAGTCTATAGTCTAGTCTATAGTCCTAGTTAGCTATAGTCTAGTCTATAGTCTAGTCTATAGTCTAGTCTATAGTCTAGTCTATAGTCTAGTCTATAGTCTAAGTCTATAGTCTAGTCTATAGTCTAGTCTATAGTCTAGTCTATAGTCTAGTCTATAGTCTAGTCTATAGTCTAGTCTATAGTCTAGTCTATAGTCTATTCTATAGTCTAGTCTATAGTCTAGTCTATAGTCTAGTCTATAGTCTAGTCTAGTCTAGTCTATAGTCTAGTCTATAGTCTAGTCTATAGTCTAGTCTATAGTCTATCTATAGTCTAGTCTAAGTCTAGTCTATAGTCTAGTCTATAGTCTAGTCTATAGTCTAGTCTATAGTCTAGTCTATAGTCTAGTCTATAGTCTAGTCTATAGTCTAGTCTATTAGTCTAGTCTCGTCTATAGTCTAGTCTAGTCTATTAGTCTAGTCTATAGTCTAGTCTATAGTCCTAGTCTATTAGTCTAGTCTAGTCTATAGTCTAGTCTATTAGTCTAGTCTATAGTCTAGTCTATAGTTCTTAGTCTATTAGTCTAGTCTATAGTTCTAGTCTATAGTCTAGTCTATAGTCTAGTCTATAGTCTAGTCTATAGTCTAGTCTATAGTCTAGTCTATAGTCTAGTCTATAGTCTAGTCTATAGTCTAGTCTAGTCTATTGTCTAGTCTATAGTCTAGTCTATAGTCTAGTGCTTTCGAAATTCGTTATCGCCAAACCTCTGGTTAAATATTGCTCTTGGTAACACTTATTCTAAAACCAGATTAATTTTGTAAAATTATTTTGCTGTTTTACTTGTCTTTGTTTTCAAATAATTTCATTTTAAGTTTAGTAAATGTTAGTTGTTTTAAATGTTAATACATCTACTATGTAGTTGCAATAATGCAAAAATTCTAAAATAATTTATTTTGCACTCCTCAAAAAACAAGTTATATTCAGCAAATGCAGAAAAAAAAATAAATTAACTAATTAATTTTCAAATACTCAAGCTTAATTAAAGCCAAAATTTATTCAACAAACTAATTGCATTAACAGGTATGAATTTCCAAATGACTTTGAAACTGCAGTTATAGAAGAATAAATCTTAAAAAATTCCAATATAAAACACTTAAGAATGCAAATGAATTAATTTTTCAATACACAAGTTAATCACTTAAAAGCATCAGCATATATCACCCACATTATTGGCACGAAAATGTTTAGAAAACAGATCTTTATTTTAGTTATTAATGTCTTCAAAATGACCTTGTTTTTGGAATAATAATAGAAATTGGTATATTTCCAGCAAATAAGGTCGTAGTAATAATTTAGTTCTTTTATTTAAGTATATGTTCAAATTAATTAGTAGATTTCTACATGTTAAAATTAGATCAAGTTTGTTGACAGCCTGCAAATGTCCACCATATTTCTGTAGACTAAACTAGAAATTTTGACAAGCCGTGTGATCTTTTTCCGTGTTAGAAAAACATGCCCCAAAATATTTCTTTCAAACACAAAATATACATACTTATTTTTAGTACTAATAACTAAAAATAAACAAGAACTACATTTGCACTTAGATCTACACATATTTTTTTTAACAACAGAAAAACACTTCAAACTTTTCACACTTATCTTAAAAAGAACAGAATCATGTATTTATCTCTTCATGTATGTAAGTAATTTACACCTTTTTTAAATTAAACAACAAAATTGATTGTTTTATTTTCTTGCGAACATTAATAACAATTCAATTATTAACTCACCTTTTTATGAGTTTTTATAGAGTGTTTAGTTTTGAATCAAAACACTTATTTTTTAATAAAATCTTGTATATTCTATTTTCACTAAATTAAATTTTTTTAAAACAAAAAAATATGCCGCGTATGACGAACAAATCACTGAGACCAGACAAGGAAAAAACTTCTTTCTACATGTCGAATGTTAACAATAAACTGAGATATAAAATAAAAAAATAAATATTTGGCAAAAAAGTATATTTTCTTCCGATATACGAAAGCAAAAAAAAAAATAAACATATAAATACAAAATTTTTGGGTTAATATAGTGTGTAGGTAATACAGGGTGTTTAAGCAGTAATAAGTCGGGCTATGGACTCTGTTCGAGTTCCACTTCGTGAAACATTTTTTCCAAACTAGATTAGACTAGACCAACGGTTCCCAAATGGGGGTCCGCGGACCCCTAGTGGTCCGTAGTAAAATCCTAGGGGGTCCGCGAAGACGAACGAAAAAAAACATCAATAAACAATATTCTTTTATATGTATGTACAAATATCTCCAATTTTTGTGCAATAATCCTAAATTTTTTGGTGACTTTTTGAATTTTATTTTTTCGGTTGTTTATCAGGAAGAAGCTAGGCCGTACAAATTTATTGTATAACTTTTATAAAGTAAAGTATTGCGTGATTTGTAATTTTTATTTCCTGTATATGTACTGAAATAATGGTTTTTATTTCAGACAAATAATACTCTGCCTTACAATTAAATTAATTCCGGAGTATGAAGTTCAATTCAAAGACAAGCTTATTATAGATTTAAGTTTATCAAATTGTAAGCAAAAGTGTTCTTGTTTCAAAGGACTAAAATTATATATTTTCAAAACAGAGGTGACTCTTTATGCATCTCTTTATAAATATTCCAATCCGACGTGATACACAGATTTTAACTTGATTTTATCGACCAATACATATTATTAAATTAACATCAGAAAATCCATAGCGTTTCGCGTAAATATGTAGCCAAAAACCATGAAGTAAAATAATTCGTTGGTATTTTAAAATTAAAATTTAAGTTCCAAATTCACAGTACTTTAACTAAGAGTTCAAATCATATATTATGCGGATAACGCATTACGCAACAACATAGAAGAAGTCCAACTTTCTTATATTATTTTCTCGAAAACTTAGCTCACTTACTCAGTTCACCCTTTGCAATCGCAACAAATTTTTGAAACGTGACTCCTTAAGCACATGTGACAATATTTGATATTGATATTTTCGCTACCTTGAAGAAAAATGAACATGAAAGATCTCACGATCATAAAATGAAACATCATGTTAACATATCAACAAAGAAGTCATTCTATCTTCAAAACATGCAATTGAAAACCTATCTGAAATATTATATATTCTCAATGTACGGGAATATTTTATAGATATGACATCTCTACATTTATTAGACCTAGGGATTAATGGACTAGGTAAATTTTCGGATGGACAATTATTTAGAACAATAGAATATCAAAATATGTATGGGGGTCCGCGAAATTAAATAAGTTCTTCAAGGGGTCCGCGAAGTAAAAATCGGTGGGAACCGCTGGACTAGACTATGGACTAAACTATAGACTATAGACTAGACTATAAACTAGACTATAAACTAGACTATAACTAGACTATAGACTAGACTATAGACTAGACTATAGACTAGACTATAGACTAGACTATAGACTAGACTATAGACTAGACTATAGACTAGACTATAGACTAGACTATAGACTAGACTATAGACTAGACTATAGACTAGACTATAGACTAGACTATAGACTAGACTATAGACTAGACTATAGACTAGACTATAGACTAGACTATAGACTAGACTATAGACTAGCCTATAGACTAGACTATAGACTAGACTATAGACTAGACTATAGACTAGACTATAGACTAGACTATAGACTAGACTATAGACTAGACTATAGACTAGACTATAGACTAGACTATAGACTAGACTATAGACTAGACTATAGACTAGACTATAGACTAACTATAGACTAGACTATAGACTAGACTAGACTATAGACTAGACTATAGACTAGACTATAGACTAGACTATAGACTATAGACTATAGACTAGACTATAGACTAACTATAGAGTAGACTATAGACTAACTATAGAGTAGACTATAGACTAGACTATAGACTAGACTATAGACTAGACTATAGACTAGACTATAGACTAGACTATAGACTAGACTAAACTAGACTATAGACTAGACTATAGACTAGACTATAGACTAGACTATAGACTAGACTATAGACTAGACTATAGACTAGACTATAGACTAGACTATAGACTAGACTATAGACTAGACTATAGACTAGACTATAGACTAGACTATAGACTAGACTATAGACTAGACTATAGACTAGACTATAGACTAGCCTATAGACTAGACTATAGACTAGACTATAGACTAGACTATAGACTAGACTATAGACTAGACTATAGACTAGACTATAGACTAGACTATAGACTAGACTATAGACTAGACTATAGACTAGACTATAGACTAGACTATAGACTAGACTATAGACTAAACTATAGACTAGACTATAGAGTAGACTATAGACTAGACTATAGACTAGACTATAGAGTAGACTATAGACTAGACTATAGACTAGACTATAGACTAGACTATAGACTAGACTATAGACTAGACTATAGACTAGACTATAGACTAGACTATAGACTAGACTATAGACTAGACTATAGACTAGACTATAGACTAGACTATAGACTAGACTATAGACTAGACTATAGACTAGACTATAGACTAGACTATAGACTAGACTATAGACTAGACTATAGACTAGACTATAGACTAGACTATAGACTAGACTATAGACTAGACTATAGACTAGACTATAGACTAGACTATATACTAGACTATAGACTAGACTATAGACTAGACTATAGACTAGACTATAGACTAGACTATAGACTAGACTATAGACTAGACTATAGACTAGACTATAGACTAGACTATAGACTAGACTATAGACTAGACTATAGACTAGACTATAGACTAGACTATAGACTAGACTATAGACTAGACTATAGACTAGACTATAGACTAGACTATAGACTATAGACTAGACTATAGACTAGACTATAGACTAGACTATAGACTAGGACTAGACTAGACTAGACTATAGACTGAAGAAATGGAAATAGATGGAAAATATAGCAATCTTAAAGATGGAAAATATAGCAATTATATCGAAATTTCGAAACTAAGACAAAAATTAATTATTTTTATATTTTAGAGAAAAATATTCTTTTACATGGAAAAATATCGTTTTTTACCGATAAGTCTTCAAAAGGTATTTCTCTTGTTTGTCTCCCACCTAAACACCCTGTTCCATAGGTATTTTTTTCAAAATAAATACACGTTTTATTTCGATTCGTTTATTTTTATTAAGCACATACTGACAGAAATTATGAACAACAAACTGCAAAAGCAAAGAAGAAAAAACAGTCAAATAATCATGTTTTGAGAATACCGAAAAAATTTTCTTTAGACTTTTGCACATGACAAAGAAAATTTTCATAATATATAAATAGACTAGACTATAGACTAGACTATAGACTAGACTATAGACTAGACTATAGACTAGACTCTAGACTAGACTATAGACTAGACTATAGACTAGACTATAGACTAGACTATAGACTAGACTATAGACTAGACTATAGACTAGACTATAGACTAGACTATAGACTAGACTATAGACTAGACTATAGACTAGACTATAGACTAGACTATAGACTAGACTATAGACTAGACTATAGACTAGACTATAGACTAGACTATAGACTAGACTATAGACTAGACTATAGACTAGACTATAGACTAGACTAAAGACTAGACTATAGACTAGACTATAGACTAGACTATAGACTAGACTATAGACTAGACTATAGACTAGACTATAGACTAGACTATAGACTAGACTATAGACTAGACTATAGACTAGACTATAGACTAGCCTATAGACTAGACTATAGACTAGACTATAGACTAGACTATAGACTAGACTATAGACTAGACTATAGACTAGACTATAGACTAGACTATAGACTAGACTATAGACTAGACTATAGACTAGACTATAGACTAGACTATAGACTAGACTATAGACTAGACTATAGACTAAACTATAGACTAGACTATAGAGTAGACTATAGACTAGACTATAGACTAGACTATAGAGTAGACTATAGACTAGACTATAGACTAGACTATAGACTAGACTATAGACTAGACTATAGACTAGACTATAGACTAGACTATAGACTAGACTATAGACTAGACTATAGACTAGACTATAGACTAGACTATAGACTAGACTATAGACTAGACTATAGACTAGACTATAGACTAGACTATAGACTAGACTATAGACTAGACTATAGACTAGACTATAGACTAGACTATAGACTAGACTATAGACTAGACTATATACTAGACTATAGACTAGACTATAGACTAGACTATAGACTAGACTATAGACTAGACTATAGACTAGACTATAGACTAGACTATAGACTAGACTATAGACTAGACTATAGACTAGACTATAGACTAGACTATAGACTAGACTAGACTAGACTAGACTATAGACTAGACTATAGACTAGACTATAGACTAGACTATAGACTAGACTATAGACTAGACTATAGACTAGACTATAGACTAGGCTATAGACTAGACTATAGACTGAAGAAATGGAAATAGATGGAAAATATAGCAATCTTAAAGATGGAAAATATAGCAATTATATCGAAATTTCGAAACTAAGACAAAAATTAATTATTTTTTATATTTTAGAGAAAAATATTCTTTTACATGGAAAAATATCGTTTTTTACCGATAAGTCTTCAAAAGGTATTTCTCTTGTTTGTCTCCCACCTAAACACCCTGTTCCATAGGTATTTTTTTCAAAATAAATACACGTTTTATTTCGATTCGTTTATTTTTATTAAGCACATACTGACAGAAATTATGAACAACAAACTGCAAAAGCAAAGAAGAAAAAACAGTCAAATAATCATGTTTTGAGAATACCGAAAAAATTTTCTTTAGACTTTTGCACATGACAAAGAAAATTTTCATAATATATAAATAACGAAATGAAATAAAATATTCTA